CAACTTTAAGACTTGTGGACTTCAACTCCCAGAATTCCTCAGCCAGCAAAGCTGGCTGAGGAATTCTGGGAGTTGAAGTCCACAAGTCTTAAAGTTGCCAAGGTTGGATACCCCTGATTTAGAGGTATCTCTGGTATATTTGGGAGCGGGGAAGAGGAAAGCTTCCATAATGCTATTGCTTGTTCCCATTGCTATACACCTTGGAACTTCCACTTATAATCCTATCTAGAGGACACTTCATTACTTTCATACTACTACTTCTCTAGGACAGTGTTTCTCAACCGTGGCAACTTTAAGATGTGTAGACTGCAACTCCTAGAATTCTCAAAGTTGAGGTCCACCCATCTTAAACTTGCTGAGTTGAGAAACACTGCTCTAGGATATGGAGTAGCTGTGATCCTTTTCTGGACATTCAACACTAAACACATAAATTATAAAATTCTGAAATGATAAAACTTGTTGCTGAAATCCAATAAAAGTCCAACTTTAAATGTTTTCTAATCCAAAAGTGGTCATTCCATTAATATGTACCAGAAATGAAAAAGTTCCAAATGATAAGACAAATCCTATCTCAGATGAGTTGATTTCTTGAAGCTTATTACACGTCCATTTGTTTAAAAAATGTCAGGCAAAAATGTTACTTCATCATCTGTTCTTATCAGTTATCAATCTCTATTGACTAGCAGTGAACAATTCTTAAAACTTCTCTCCAATGGGCATTTAGTTCCCAGTCATCTGACTCCTGAACTGCAGGCCCTTGTAGAATCTGTTCTGTCCAATGACTTGTTTCTACATAGCTCTTCACCCCTGTCAAGTGTTCAAAATAAAGCCTCAACATCCATTTTTCAATGTAGCTGTTTTTAGAGTTTCACCTTCTTGGTGAACTTCGGTAGTTGTCATGTTGATTGTATTTTCCAGGCTCTGTTGCATTTCCAACTAGAAAAGAAAATGATAATACATGATTTTCAAACATTCAAATTGGTTTGAACCTGCAGTTGGAGGAGTGATAAAGAAGGAGGATACAAGCAGGAATGAGTCAAGGAAGAAAAATGATTTCTAATATTTGATTCCGTAACTTTTGCTTTGAAAACTCTCGCAATTTACAAAGTAATCTGTACAAAACTTTTGTACTACTCTCAGAAAAGTATGAAATATGGGCCAATAATGCTTTCAACAATCTCTTTGCACTTTTTAGTAGTCAAAAACTGCATCTGGGAGTTGCTTGGTTGAGGAGATCAGATGATGAACAGGTGAAGCAAAAAATGACTTTCAGATCTATATATTCAAATATATTCTATTTCATAAAATTGTATATGGTGAAGAGATAAATGCATGAGACCATTCAAAGTGTTGCTCAAATGGGTTCTTGTAAAGTATATCTGCTCAAAGAATTTAAATAATACATAAGGTAAGAGGCAAAACACACCAGAAGCAAATAACCCCTTCACATAACAATGCCTAATATAGTAACTACAATTTATTTTATTTTAAAAGAATAACTATCTTAAAGGAAGAATGGAAGTGGTGAATGACTCCTTTTTTCATCAGTCCTGCAATGCAATAAGAATCATTTGCCTTTTCCAAATGAGCTGGCATTTTCTTCAAAAAGATAAATTTAGCTGTAGGCTTCTACCCTGTCCTAGTGTTAGTCTGTGGTATGAACTAGCTATAAGATCAAGTAGGGATGTGGAAGCAACTTGGTTTTGATAAAAAGGAATATGATAAAAAAAAGAACCAAATGTGCTAAATTTATTTTAAAGCAAAAACACTGAGTGCCAAGTTAACAGTTACTGGCTTTGCTTTACATAAATTGTTTAAGAGCTGCTGTTTATTAGTGGTTATTATTGGAACACTTATATGCAGAAGTAGAAGTAAGGCAAGGAGGAAGCAAAGAAAAGAACATACTGAATTATGTGGAAATATAAAAAGTGCAGAGTGGGAAAAACTATAAAAAGGAACATAATATAGAGATATATCATTCAGTTTTAATAATATTTTGCATGCCTATATGCAAATCATCATTTACCAGTTGGTAAGCATGTTTAGAACATTGGTAAATCCAATCCAGTGAACTTTAGTATATGGAGATTTTATAGAATCCTGATTTTGAAGGGACCCCTGTGGTCTTATAGTCCAACTTTATGCCTTTAGCAATTTACTCCACTGGTTTATTGTCTTATCTTCATAATTCTTCATAACATTAACCTGAATCTACTTCTCTGAAGCTTTAATCTATTGTTTGTTGTCCTGCCCTCCTAAGCCACAAAGTATAAATATCTGAAGACTGCTATCAACTTGTCACATAAGTCTTGACTTTTGCATGTTAAAGATTCTCAATTCCTTAAACTATCATCACTGAACTTGGATTCCAATTCCCTTGTTATCTTGTAGTCCTCCTCTGAACTTAAACCAGTGGGTCAATGTCTTGTGCCAAGAACTAGATGCATAATTCCAAATGCAGAGCAGAGGGATATAATACTTTTTTAGGATTTGAAATCTGTGTTCCTGATAATCCATCCCAAAAATGCCATTTACGTTTTCAGCAGATGCATTGCACCACTGGCTCATGTCCCACTAAAAATCTGAATTCAGGTAAATGTCAGCAATCTAAACAATTTACAGATGAAAGTCCCGAGACCTCCTCTAAATATCCCAAGCTGTCTTCCTAATACTGCAGTCCTGCTTGAAATCAGATAATGCCTCTTTAAAACTGAAGCCTCATTTGCAATAATATTATGGCTTAAATATTATGTTCTTAGAACTGTGACTAATATCTGTAAATATTTGAACTCTCAAGCAATAGTTTTAACAGCTTTTGGAGTATGCTGCTAGCTCCAAAAATCTGCCACCTAGATCTGTCGCTATACTGTTTGTTTCAAAGGGTTATTAAGCTGATTCACTTGTCACCAAGCGAGGATAACAGAATATTTCTGTGCAGGAATATTTTGCAGCTGAAGCAAAATAGTTGTACTAATGATCAAATAATTAATTATAATTATACCTTTCTATTCAAATAGATTAAGTTAAATGAACAATCAGTTTGCTTTTATCAAGCCAAATTAAACAGTTAATCTTTACATGTGCGGAAAAGATCTGAGAGGAACCTCTTGCACAAAGATTTTATCTTGAAATACTAAAGAGATACAATTGTTGGAATGTCTCCTCCTGCTCAGATGTTTTTAAATTAGTCAGGACTTGATCAGCCTCATATTAAAAGCAATATCAAATTAATATGCAGTTATTCCTCGACTTATGAACTTAATTGAGCCTGGAAATGTAAAAATGCTGTTACCTAATAGAAAATTTAGGGGAATCATGCTATACCCATATTTTAGATGGCAGCTAATATTAAGCCAATTTGTGACTTAATTATGAAGGTATTATATTATTCTCGATACATTATTAAAAGTTATAGTTGTTAACCATTTTGTGGTTATATTGCTTAAGGATTTTACATTTAGGTTTTTTTATACTGTCCATGATTGAGATAGGAACTCCAAATAGTATGTGTCTACCTGAACAGCAACATGAGCACCATTAGTTGTTGCTAGCACTACCAAGGGCTAATCATAGACAGGCTTTGAATGAATCTTGAGATACTATTCTGTTACTATTCTGACCTGAAAAACATCACACAGGTATAGCAGCTATATTTAAAAGATTTCTTTCTATACTATATCCAAGCAACGTATTTTCAAGATCTCTATATAAGATGTATCCCAGTTCCAACAGTGATAACCACAGCCATAGTATTTGTACCAGAATATAGCTTTAGTTCATGGTAAGTCAAAATGTTTTAACAAGCCTCTAATCCTGCAATCTAAAAACTGCAATCCAATTGTTTCATCTCAGTTTTTCCTTTAAGATGCCACAAAATCCTTAACATGCCTGCTACTAAAGCTAAGATTATGAAAAAGTTATGTGCGAGTTGTAAGCAGAAAAGGTGGTGAAATACTTGGAATTGGAAAATTCCGGAAGAATAATCCTCTATTGCAATTGTTTCCACTGATCTGCCTTGGATACCGCTAGCCCAAGAATATCTCCTCCCGTTGTCTTTCATACTTGCTCTACACCATCCTCAGAAACAAGAGCTGCTGCCGATGACATGGAATCTTCCTGCACTTCATCTTTCATCTTCATAGAAACAATACATTGACGTTTCAGTGGAGGCCTGCTGTTATTCACTATGGTATCTGAGAGAACAAAGAAAGAAGAATTGGTGGAAGAATCCAACTAAGAGAGAGCATTCAATTGGCTTTGTAGGCAGATAAAATTGAACACAAAGTGAAAATAAAGCTGTATGCCAGCAAACTGGAGAATGACAAGAATTGCAAGGCTACCTTGTCTGTTTACTCACCTTCCAACTGATGTTCATAGAGAGCTTGCTCACTGTCATCCAACTCCCCGTGCACGGTACGTTTATGCATTGCCAAAGTAGAAGTTTGCCGATAGGTTTTGCCACAGGTGTTGCAAGTGTATGGTTTGCAATGTGTGTGAACTACATGGTGTTTGTAGAGACTAGAATATTCTGTGAAGCATTTTCCACAGCCTGGTACCATGCATGCATATGGCTTCTCCCCTGGAACAGAATTAGGATTCACAGAGAAATCAAATTTTTATTCACAGACTCAGAGCCTAAAGGTTGAAGCTACTGCTAGAATAATACCAGTTTAATAAAATGGGATTCCTTTCCAAGTAAACATGCAAGAGATTTCACTTTAGGATTATTGTGAATGTAATCTACATGCCAGACTGCAGATTTATTATCCAAACTATATAAGTAAGAGATGGCTGTTTGGCACATACAAGTCAGAGTATTCTAACCCCTTTTCCGGCTAGATTTAGAAAAAAAATTGCCTTTTAAGGAACAAAAGAAGAAGTCAGTGGGAAAAGGATGGGACTAGTAATAATTCTTTACAGCCTCAGACAAATATTTGAAATCACCAAAAAGCTGGAGAACTCCTGGGAAGGAAAGCAGAGGACCTTTGCTTCAGGAATCCTACTAAGATAATTAGGAATTTAAGCTAACTTTAGACTTAACTTTTCAGTGCTGGGCTAAGTCTTATTTTCTTTATCTTTGTATACAGTAAGTATAGAATTGGGGGTTTGCCTTCAGCCTTCATTGTTGCTTCAGGCTCTGTTCAGGATCTTTTCTCCTTTGAATTTCCTTGTGATCTTCTTACTGCACTGTTGACATTATTTAAGCTTTTACATTTTGACCTTTTAATCTATAGAAAAGTGAAAGAGCCTTGTCTTGCACACTAAGGTTACAGTAAGGTGTTCAATAAGAAAGGTACTGGCAGTAGAAATTATCAAGTTGTTATTTCAAAGCAAGAATCAGGGCCAGCAGCACTTTAGGAGAGAAAGTTTGGATTTCCAGTGTTTCACCCTGTGAACTTCAACATACTGTAGTTATAGTTACTTTAAGCAGTCAAGGAAAAAAGAGTCAGATCCATCTCCACTAGCTGTACCATATTAACTTAACAATCTATTGTTTTTTCTGGTCATCTCACAGGATGAACAAGATCAGCTTTGTTCTTTATGTGCTGAATCCATCAATGTGGAGCGATTTATGTTGGCTGGCCGGACCCAACTACAAATAACTTTGACTGGCTCACAATATAACAAAGAAAACAATATTTAACACAATTCAAAAGCATAACCAGCTAAAAAACAACAACCCACAAGTAGACAAAAATCAAGACAGTTTAAAGTTTACCTGTATGGATTCTCATGTGATTTTTGTAGTTGGTGGCACTAGTGAAACCCCTCCCACAGTTGGGCTCTGAGCACATATAGGGTCTCTCTCCTGTGTGTGTTCGTATATGGACCTTGCGTATGTTAGAGGTGGTGAAAGAGCGGCCACAGCCTTCAAAGGGGCACCGGAAGGGCCGCTCACCTTGATGGGGAGACCAGATAGAAGAATCCTTAGTTAATCATTAAAAGCCATGAAAAGATTACTTCATTTCCTCTTTCAAGCATATCATACTACAGCTAGTCCTTGGCTTAAAACCACAATTGGGACCTGAATTTCTGTTCCTAAACAAGGTACTTTTTGAGTGAGTCACATTTAATTTTATGGACATTTTTTTGCCATGGCTGTTAAGTGAATCCAGCTTCCTCCATTGACTTTCCTTGCCGGAATCCAGCTGAGGTAAAAAATGGCTGAGTAAGGTGATCCTCACAAATGGCGACCACATCACCCAGCATGCTGCAAACCATCATAAATGCATGCAGGTTGCCAAGCAACCAAATTTTGATCATGTGACTGCAGGGATGCAATGACAATTATAAGTGTAAAGACTGGTCATACATTATCTTTTTCGGTGCCTCTGTAACTTTGTTTGGTTGATAAATTAATGGTTATAATGGTTATAAGTTGAGGGTTAACTATAAGTGGTATGAATACCTTTTTGTTTGGTAATTATCTTTGATTTCATTATATTTACTCTAACCACCAAGACCGAAAGTAAGGTTGAAGAACATTTGCCCATTGGTGTCTTATTTTACACACTGACTGTGATTAGTGGGGCCATATTTAGAAACTGCTGACATGATCACACAGATTTTTTTACATTCTCTACTCTCTGTGCCACCTTGTTTGGGATCAGCCACACTCATTCAGAATTTCTGGAAGTGAAACTGCATAGAAATTGTAGTAAATGAATGGATGGATGGATGTAGAACATGGGTGCACAGCCTACAGCCAGAGCAGACTGTGGGAAGATTAGCCCCCATATCCTCCCTCTTCAATTACTTACTAAAGACAAGCCCCAATGCTACTGCTATCTATCTAGCTGCCTCGTCCTAAGTTCTTTTAAGTATTTGATGTTTTTCCCCCCTCACATTTACTTTAAATCTGAGAATCATCTGAGATGCAAGAGGGCAGGGAACATTCTAAGTATATGCTTTGAAAAAAATGTAAGATTTAAAGAATTAAAGTAAATAACATCATCAGTAATAATACAGCTACTTTATTTGCATATTTTTCTATAGCCTCATTTCTTATGTTCTTCCAAAACTTCAGATTCTGAGATTCCTAAATTAAAACAATAATCCCCCACAGGACATACCAGTATGTGTTCGAATATGTTTCTGGAGATCTCCAGAAGTCTTGAAGGCTTTGGTGCATAAATCTTCTTGGCACTTGTATGGCTTCTCACCAGTGTGGGTTCTCATATGGCTCTTTAGACTATATCCTGTCAGGGTAAAACTTGTATTCTAAGCACAATCACAAAGCATTGCGCAAAGCATAGCAACATAAAAAAATTGTAACTATGTAGCTCTGAAGATAATCACAGCCAGAGCTTTAGCCTGAATTTATACTTTTTTTCATCATTATTTATAGCTCAACGGTCTGTGGATTTCTAAAGTACATCTTCATTCTCAGTCATGAGTAATTCCATCAGAGCAACACAATTTCAATGTTGCTTTTCTAAAGGCTTCACAGCAAATACCTTACCTGTAGCAAAAGTTTTCCCACAGCTTGCAAAATCACACTGGTATGGGCGATCGCCAGTATGGACACGTTCATGAACCTTCAGCAAAATAAAGGAAAAAGCCTAGTCTTAGGCCAGTGAGAACAGAAGAGGCTGGCACTCTTATTTTGCCTTGCAGTGCTATCAGAAGTAGTTCTTCAGTTCTATTCTGTTATGGTGTTTGACTTTTTTGTTTTTCTTGCAATGAATTTTTTTACTTTTAAAGTTTCAACATGGATGGAAATTAAAGGAGTCCATACTATAAACAAATACATAAGATATGTGTATTTTAATATTTGCTGAATTTGCTAAATCAACTCATTATATTCAACCCTGCCTGCTAATTTATATTTCAGTCAGTCTGAACTGAGAGTAGAATACAGTATTACATAAAATGTAACTATTTCAAAAGACAAAGAGACATTTGGACATAATATCAATTGTATTTTTTTTTCTTCCTTTCAATCATCTCTGACTGAAATCCCTGCAGTTTTCTTGGCAAGCTTTTTCAGAAACCTCTGCCTTTGCCTCCTTCCCAGGGCTGGGAGAAAGTGACTGGCTCAGGTCACCCAGTTGGCTTTATATCTAAGGTGGGACTAGAACTCAAGATATTCTAGTTTCTGACCTAATGGCTTAACTACTACATTAATGGCTTTAAATATTGTATGATCTTCTGAAAATAGTTTTGTTCAACTAGATATTATAAAGCAAGAAGAGAGCTCAATTAGTGAGGTTTACATTTATTTTTAAAATTACAAATATTGAAGTACATAAAACCAGTTTGAGACCATCTGATGAGGTGGTTATGGCGCTCGATAGGAACTAGGAAACCATGAGTTTTAGTCCTCCTTTTGATATTGAAGCTGGCTAGGTGACTTTGGCCAGTCATTCTTTCTCAGCCCAACCCATCTCACAAGGTTATTGTGAAAAAAATAGGAGAGGGCATTAAGTACACTACCTTGAATTTTATAAAATAAATTCAATAAATACAGTGAAAGACTAAGTATTTTCAAGTAAAACTAATGTAGAAAGTGGAAGAATAACTTGTAATCCTACTAATGCTTTATATCAAATGCATTCTACTAAGAAAACTAAGAGCAAGCCTTCAGCAAAAGATTATAGCTTCTTCAACCACTTGTTTCCTGTCTCTCCCCTCAACATTATCAGATAAAAGTGCAGGCTTACGTGACCCATTGGTGATGACGTTCATTAGATAAGTTTCTCTAGTAGTGCCATAATGTATTTAGGGTGAATTGTGGGGAAGCAAAGTGTGATTACCTTCAAATGGTGGGATGTGGTAAAGAGGCGGCTACACCCACTGTATCTACAACAATAAGCTTTATCAGGAGTTCTCGGTCCATTTCCAGTGCTCTGCATTTCTTCTTTCTGAAAGTCTTCCTAGGAAAGAAAAGGGAAAAAATCAAAACCTGAATGATGCCTGCAGTGTCTAAAGTAGGTAAGCCTGGATTTTAAAATTTTATGTTAAGCCATTTTTGTAGAAAGGCAAGAAGAAAAGTTTTCAGTAAATGAATTTCATACTTATTTTTTATTCTTATGCAAATATATACAAAGTTATCAAAGTATACAAAGTTATCTTCCATTTTTGCCTTAAGGTAGGTCTTTCTATATGCTGTTTTATAAGTGGAAAGCTACATTCACACATAATTGTAAACCAAGATTTTTAACTATAGTTTGTTGTACAAGCTGTAGGACTTGGTCTGCACATCATGTCAAGTCATAATGAGTAATTTTGTAGATTTCCTTAAAGTAAACTGCACTTATAGTTTAATATTAATGCATTTTATGTACAATATTAAATAATATTCATTATAATATTGTTGTGCACAATATTCATTAATACTCTTTGGGTCTTTGGGAATTATAGTTCCTAGAATTCTTGCTCAACAATCAGGTAACAGGTGTACTGTACACAATTTTCTAATCAGGCTGATAATCAAAATTAAGATAAAAGAAACATGTTGTGGGTGATGCATAAGGCTGACCCAAATGTTGTTGACTGTCTGACTTTTGATGGAGTCATACATTTTCTGAAGGATAAGATATACAGTTTGGGATGTTCTTCAACTCAGTCTTGATTATTTATCATGTGATTTTTTTCAAACACAATAGATTGTATTGTGTTTGCCATTCTGAATAGAGTAGTAAGGGTGAATTATATGGAATAAAATATATAATATAGAATGAAAATGCTTTTGATCATATTGAGCTTTGTATTGCTGGCACACTGCATAAAGATACTAAAAATGGAAATACTCTTTCCACTAGCAGGAAATTGCATGTGGCATGGGCATGGTATGACCAAGGTCAGTAAGCTAATGCACTTCTTCTCTATTTTGCTAAAAATATTGCAAAATGACTGCCTGTCAAAACCATGAAGATATGAGTAGTTATTGTTAAGAAGCTGACATTAAGCAGGTTGTGTTGAGATACTACGGCTCTTTAACTCAAATGTGTGAGGGACTTTATGACTGCCATAAGACCCTTTTCTAAGGAGACATTAATGGTATAGCTAACATGCCCATGTTCTGTCCAAAATACCTTTAATGCTTTAGATCTGAATAACTGTAAATTCCTAATCAATATCTATGAGCCAATCTGGTGATGGCCAGAGCAGATGAAAAACCGTAACTTAAAATACCAGAGGAGCAAATGGTATATAGAGCATAAATTCACGAATGCAACAAAAAGAAAAAGAGTTCTGTCACATTTCTGTAAAAGTAAGAAAAGGGAGAAGGACATAGCAGTTTTGAATGAAGGTTGTTTTCTGATCTTCTGGAATGGAGTTAGTAAAGAGTTATTTGTTTGAGTTCGGTGGCTAAAGAAATTGAATAAATAAATAGAATGCAGGCAAGTGTAGCTTAAAAAAAAGTGTAGGTTTAAATAAAGGGATAACATGTATAAATAAAGTGTATGTCGTGTACAGTTAGTCCTTGACTTACAATCACAACTGAGCCCAAAATTTTTGTCGTTAAATGAGATATTTGTTGTGAGTTTTGCCTCAATTTACGACCTTTCTTTCCACAATTGTTAAGTGAATCATTGCGTTTGATAAGTTGGTAACCTGGTTGTTAAGTGAATCTGGCTTCCTCATTTGCTTGCCAGGTCGAAAAAGGTGATCACATGACCTTAGGACACAGCAATAGTCAAGCAACCAGTTGCCAAGCATCTGAGTTTTGATCACCTGATCATGGCGATGCCACAGATCATAACTGTGAAAAAAGGTCATAAGTCACATTTTTCAGTGCGCTGTAACTTTGAATGCTCATTAAACGGACTGTTCTAAGTTGAGGAATACCTGTATATGATAATGGTTCTTATCTAGGCATGTTAGGAAGCTTTTGCTGAATTTGAGCCAGAGAGCCTGAAAATGTCACGCAATGATTAAAGAATTAAACTGCCTGCTGCAAAGTCTGTGGCTGGTAATTTGCCGGTCTCATCAATTTATTAGGCCGTCTTATGGAGTCCTTGGGCTTAGTTCCCCAACCCACATCAGTAATAACTCACCTATTTAAAATCAGTGACACAACAATTTCTACCATCTACAGCAGGGGTCTCCAACCTTGGCAACTTTAAGCCTGGAGGACTTCAAGTCCCAGAAGTCCTCCAGGCTTAAAGTTGCCAAGGTTGGAGACCCCTGATCTATAGTATACAATCATCTTGCATTCTATAACCATGTATCCTGGGCAGTTTCCATATTGGGAGGCTTCAACTTTGTGAATTTTCAAAAAAAGCTGTTCTGGCTAAGCAACGCTGGAATTGAATTCCATACAACTAGAAGTTGGTCAGGCTGGAAAACCCTGCTCAGAATAACAATATTATACACTACATATTTTGCAATGTTAACAGGCAAACCATATGTCATAATACTAAGCTGTTATTGCTTTCAACATGTTCCAACATCAGGAAGTAAATGGATTTCCATTTTCAGAAAGATTTCCTTCAATTTTATTAGACTTTTATTCCATTTGTCTCTCACATAAATCCAGTATTTCAAAAGGAGATATGAAAAATTAAATGAAATCATCACAACAAATTCAAATTACTTAAAAACAGTGAATAGAAAAATTAAAGATAATTTTAAAAAGCATAAAAGCAAAATAATAATAGGCAATCTGGTTCTAAATGATGCCACTTACAAATGTAAAGTTTGGGAGAGAGGAACTAACTTAGATATTTTCAGTAACGTTGAGTTAAAAGTTTTTTAAATAAATCCTCATTTTTCCTCTAATTATGGGAGTACTCTGTCTAGGCAGTCTCCTAAATGGACCTAAAAGATTGAAGGATAGCCTCTGGTTGAGAAAAAAAAATCAAATTAAGTACCAAGACCTGTGTGCAGCTACACACTGACAGTATGCTTTGGAAAGATAAATAATATCCATTGAATTGCAAGTCAATATGGACAATAAATAAGCTGTCCAGTACTCTAAAACAATGCCAACAGGTATTTCATTTAATTGTATCTAATATTAGAGTTCAGCTGCTTCCCAGATATAAGAAGGCAGCTTTCAGAATTGTTGTCTCAAATACCAGAATAAAGTAAATAAAAAAACAATTTTATTTGAAAAAAGAAAAGCAGAATTATATGTTTTCACTCTACTGTAAAGTTTGAAGACTGAAGATGAATAACCATATTCAAAACCAAACTAAAATATAAAACAATGTAAACAATATACTGTCTCTCACAGCTCTAATACATAGTTGTTTCAAGCACAATCCCTTATATTTATGTAATCTGAATGATTAAAAGAAAAAAAAAGTGTGATGCTTGGTATTGATATTTGCAAAATATCCAAGTAGTTTCTTTGTTTATTACATGTGTTCACTAGGCTCTTGTACCTGTGCCATTTCATTTCATATTTAAAGTTTTTGCATATCTCTTTCTAATTTCACAACAAAACATTGAATTCATAGCAGTAGCAGATGAGATAAGTCTTTCCCATCCAAATGGCACCTATGATATCATAGATGCTGAACTGGCACTTGAGCATCTAATTGTACAGGTCAGCAAAGCAGTCAATAGATATATACAGATACATGCACAAAGTTCTAATTAGCTATTGAAGTCCTGACTTAAGATGGCAGGGTTTATCCTTACAGCTCACATGGAGAGCTCAACAGGTTTTTTTGTAGACCATACACCTAAAAAATGTAATTCTCTGAATCATGTTATGCTTTAGAATCTTCATAGAAAAGCAGAATATTCCCACCTTGCTGGTGTAATCCTTCAGAGTGGTATCAGTGTCTAAATCAAAAGGGTCATCTTTCTTCTCTGCCAATTCCTCCAGCCCCACATCTGCTTGTACTGCCAGGATGGTGCCATCCATTGTTGTGGGAACAGGACGGTGTATGAAAGCTGTGGACCCATCTTCCAGCTGGATGGCCTCCAAGGTGTTGGGGTCAAAACCCTCTGAAGTGGACCACAAACACTGTAGTACCACGTGTCAGCTGTAATCACTACGTATTTGTCCCTTGATCAGTTACAGCTAGTGAAACTCTAAGGGTTAAGGCCATCAATAGTAAAATCCAACTATACTTTAGAACTCAAATGTTACATATCAAAAGATCTTGCAATTCACAATCAAAAATGGATAGAATTGAAAGATCATGTTGCTTTTATGGAGCAGACTATCTGGAACTATTCTATCCGTTCATGAATTGATTGAGAAGCACCTGAAAAATAGTATCAGTTTATTTTCAATAGATAAGTAGTTTATCATTTATGGCTGTAAAGAATGGATTAGAAAAAAATGACACAGCCAAATTCCCAATCTTCCAAACCACAGATCAGAAACAAATAAAGAGGCCATGCCTGCTCCTTTCCATCTCTGAATTTCCTGGTTAATTCAAATCATGGTTTACTTATATCTTACCCACTAAAATGTGGTTTTTCATTGATGAAGAAAAAAATTCTGAAAAGAAGGGAGTGCAATACAAGATAAAACATCTTACTACCGATGTAGGCTACCTAAAAAATTTAGAACAAGCCTATCAAACTGGTGACCTACGGGCCGGATACGGCCCGCATAGGCCACGCCCACCCAGGATCCACAAAGGCAAAAAAATATCCCAGTATATCACGATACAGCCCACGATGCGATTGGGTTTGACATCCCTAATCTAGAGTAAAAGTAACCAACACAAATGTTTTATCCAGGAATGTGCTTTTTTTTTGTTTTTTAGAAAAAGCAACAGACAATAACACCTTTAATCCACCTGCTTTGAATAGGGGTATCAAAGTGGCAGCTCACAGGCCAGATGCATCACACACAGGCCACGCCCACCCTAGCTCTGCAAATGGGGAAAATGTTGTGAAACATCATGTGATGGCAACGTAACGCGGCAAGTTTGACACCTGTGGCTTAGAGGCTTTTTATGGATAATTTATTGAAAACTAGAGTGAGAGCTACCTTTGGGAGCGTGATGTATAAAAGCCATGGTGCCGTCTTCCAGTGTAACAGGCTGACCATCTTCAAATGTGATAGATTCTATGGAATGAATCAGAATATAGACACACACGTGATCTCAAACCACAAGCAAAACTTAACAAGAATAAGAATCCCCATCACTGTTCACTTCTTTTGTTTTGAAGAATAGCCTCTTAGTCAATTCAGCCCCAGATATATTAAAAATATATTTTAATAATAATATGAATGCAGAAGTGCAACATAGAGTCAATCTAACTCTGAATTAAATGAATTAAGAAAAAATCATTCTTCTCTTTCTCTGACTCTAAATTTGTTTAGATGTAGAAACAAAAGCACCAGCAATTGCAAGGCATTGTTTGTTCTTTTTAGTGCATAGAGGGCATTCAAAAAATATTTCAGTTTGTAATCAAAAGCCACTTTTCCAGGTGATTTTTATACTAGATCCGCACCCTGGCAATTACAAGCGCATTACTTTTTAATGCCTGCACTATATAAGTATTCCTTATTTAACAACCACTCACTCGTTCAGCGACTGTTGAAAGTTACAATCCCCAATTTCAATCATTAACTGAAGATTACCTGTATACCTCTACAGCATTAGATGCCAATTTGAAGATACATATTTGAAGATACACCTCCCAGAGCCCCTCCTTGAGGGAGATGAACAGTATAGAAACATGAAAGATAGGTAGGTAGATAGATATGCAAATAGCATAACTGGTGTCTCCTGCTACTTTGGCTAGGAGACTGATCTAGAATTTTGAAACTAATAGTATTTTCATCAAATGGTTGCCATAGAGAGTATGGTTAGCCAGCTAAAACACAAACTGATGAACCTCCTCACCAGCATTCCTATGAGGTCCCTAAGTTATTCCCCATGTGTTTGCTTATCATTGTCTTTTTTTCTAAGCATATGCATACACAATTGTACCAATTCACCACTTCCGTCTCCTAAGAATGCCTTTAATATTAACGTTTATTTCTTAGAAATAAACACTGGTGTTTTCCTTGTAGCCTGCTAGCTTTTATTTTATTTAAATACCAATTTCTAAAAAGATAAAATAAGATCTTCTAATACAATAAATCAGTGTGACAAAACCGCCTGTACGGAATTCCGATACTGATGGTGGTAGGAGTAGTTAAGCAATTATGCTACTTTTACTGTGCTGTATTCTAGAGGTGCTGCAGTCCCTGCTCATCTTAATTTCCAAACTTCCTCAAATTTGCTCATTTTGAAAACTTCCAGTATTGGTTCTGCTAGTGTTTAAAAAGGTGCTGGTAGGAGCCACCAGACACCTATGGAACTCCTGAGGATGCTGAATTACAATTTCCAGCAATCCTAGAATAACAACTTTAGGAAGGCCACAAGTTCCTCATATTGCTTTAAAGATACCACAGGATCAGCAATTTTACTTCACCTTTCTGCAGAGTTACTTGTTGGAAAAAAGCTGTGGATCCATCTTCAAGTTCAATCATTTGTCCATCAACTAATTTCTCTTCTGAAATAAGAATTTTGAAACACTTGTCAATTTTCTAGGAAGCAAGATTTAAAATTTTTAGCTACATAGCCATTAAAACATTGCCATTAAGGAACATGAACTGGAATCTTATATGCTACGTTAGAATTATTTCTTCTGAAACATATTATCAGCTTTACATATGGGATCCATGATACTAAATTCAGAGGCAGCATTAGTAAATTCTTGTTTTCTGCATTTATCTTTATCAATAAATATATTTTCCATATAAGGAAGTAGGCATAGAAGACCCTAATACCAGTTAAAATATAGAAAAATGTACTCTTGTGCCAGATTTGCAATCAGTTATTAAAACTCATAACAGTTTAAACACAGGAATGAAATTAATTTTTTCCTTGGTAGATTGAAAAGCATGTTAGGAAATTTCTTATTTATTAGGGGATGGTGAAAGAGCCCAAGCCCTGCAGGGACCCAGGGAGAGGAAGCAGACCCAAGGGCTGTGGGGAATCCTACTGAGAGGAACTGGGACACATGAGGTGAGAGAGGCCTTGGCCTGGTACTCCTGGGAATGTGTTAGGCCTCCCCCCAATCTTGGGGCACCCTGTGCTTCACTTAATGACCTGTGTGCTTATTTGGCTAGTGCATCAGGGAGAGGAGGAGTGGAGGTTAAAAGAGACTGTCTCGCTTAATGGCCCTCACTACTTAGGACTATAATAGGCAGGCTCCATTAAGTTTGAAGGTGGAGGACTACCTGTACTATTAAAATTTAATACACACAAAGCACATATATTTAATGAAATGTTTATCCATGTTACATTGCCTTTCATTCTCCCTTGTGTGTAATGCTTTGATCCTAGGGTTTCTGCTGTCTCCCAGTGGCTGACCACAGCTGCCACAGCCTTCAACTGACTCACCACCTGCATCGTGCTGAACATAGGCTGTTGTCCCATCAGAAAGGGTCATCGCCTGTAGACTCAAGCCCTCCATTTTGTTCTGGTAGCAGCTCCTTAGTCATGTATTCAACACTGAAAGTAGTTCCCACTGATACAGCTATAATAAAAATGAAAAGATATCCATATTTGTGTGCACATATCTTGTTCCCATTTACTGTTAAGCATAAATATAAACTTGGGCAAAAGTCATTAGAAAAGATTAACAAGACCAACCAAATGGAAACAGCAATGCACCTTGGCTATGCAACAACAAACAGACAAAAACTTGTTGTCTTTTAGCCCCAGTTGTATTCCTCAGAAGTACTGTTAAGAGATTGGAGAAGATGAGTCTTCTTTTATTGCACAGAGCTATTCTTACTAGAATAATAAGTACTGTATATAATGTATATAACTTTTAGTGGTAAGAAGGGATTTAAAAAGTAAATTAAAATAAATGTATACATAACTGGAACAAAAATCTTTTCTGTTAGGCATATTCCCCTGAGATACAACCATGATATTTGAACAAAATCAAGATGAGAAAAGTAAAGATACCTTACCTTAGATGGCCAATCAGGGGTTTCATGCTTTATAACAAGTAAAGAACTTTTACAGATCACCAAGATGAATATTAAGCAACCCAAGCATAAAGATAGCTTGTCCTAAGCCTATGCTTTACGGATAGTCTTCAAGTTATGACAATTGAGTGCAAAATACTGTATATGTTGCTAAATGAAACATTTGGTGAGTTTTATGACTTTTATAATTTTATTTTTATATGAATTTAATGACTTTTCTTGCCACAGTTGTTAAGTGAATTATTGCATTTATTAAATTAGTAACATGGTTGTTAAGTGAATCTGGTTTCCCCATTGATTTTGTCAGGACACAAAAGGTGCTCACATGACCCTGGCACACTGCAACCATCATTAATATGAACAACCTGCCAAGCATCTGAATTTTGATCATGTGACCATGGGGATGCTGTAATGGTTGTATGTGTGAAAAACGGGCATAAACCATTTTTTTCAGTGCCGTTGTAACTTTGAACAGTTACTAAATGAACTGTTGTAAGTCAAGGACTACGTGCACTTCTTTTTAAACCTGCAGAGACAAAAATTTTTATAGAAAATGTCTTTGGCATAGAAAGGTAAAATTGTAAAAAGACAATTAGGCCAACAACCTAAACTGAAAAATCCTTAGGTAATGGCTATCTGGCCTCTATTAAACACATCCAGCAAAGATTTTACAATGTCCATTGATAGTTGGTTCTACTGGCAAACTACACTGGGAATCCACCTGTTACTTAATACTTTTACTTTGTTTTCTGGGATAGCAACGCTTTTTTTGCACATGATATTGCTCCAGGAATATGGAAAGTACTTTCATATTTATTTCCATTTAGTCTTGTTTACTCCAAAGTAAACATATCAAGTTCTTCAAGCACCCCTCTTCACAACCTATTCCATTGATGTAAACAGATTTTTTCCCTTATAGTTTCAAAATAAGGTTTGTGACTGCCTTTCATTACATTTAATAACACAATGGCGGGAATAAATATTTATAAAAATGATAGAGAATTATTGCCAGTCCCAGGATTCCCAAATAGAAGTGGCATGGTATTATCTTCTTCAAACATACAACTGAACCTTTTTTTGTAAAAGAATGGGATGAGGTAGAGATAGAAAGTTTTAGAAATCAGAAAATTTGGGCCCAACTTTTTGGGTTTTAACTTCTGATTATATTTATCAGATTCTTATCTCATCTTTATTACTTTATTAATAACTCAAGATGATGAACATACCTAATACTACTTCCTCTTATTTTCTCCACAACAAGCACCCTGTGAGGTGATAGCTGCCCAGGTTTTCAGCAAGGTTTTTTCCAGCTCTGTCAACTGAAATGGAGGTGCGAAAAATGAATCTTCTTCATGCAACAGTTAAATTTAAACAATTACATAGCACTGCACAGAGGAAGAATAATTTAATGAGCACAGCAATGAAATAATAAACATACAAGAAGAGGTACTGTGCAAGTAAAAGAAGAACAATTAGTGTTGTCAGTCCCTAATTCTATCAACTGATGAAGAGTTATTGGGGTAAATATGCCAAACATTTCATAAAATTAGAGAACTAAAACTCTGGACTTACACAGAAGAATAAGCTCATAGATGAATTCTACAGATACTATTACGACTGAAATGAAGGGTAACTGATATTCTGTAAGAAGTCTGGGGATTCAAATATCTTTGAATGAATTATTTGAAGCACTTAGCTTCAAGTAATAGATTGGCAAACCAAAGCATATAAACGGTGCCATTTTTAGAAGAAACTTGCATTATATGTTGGGCTTTCATATTCCGCAATTTTCCTAGCATTGTGGAAAGCAGGTTTCCTTGGGGAAAAAAGGAGAAATAATAACATTGTAATTTTTAGCAATTATGTTACATTTTGTCCAATAATCATCTAGCTCACTATTGCCTATGTTTTATCCAAAGTTGGCAGGAATTCTGCTCTCAAAGTATATGATCTATCACTGAGGTGCCATCCTTCTCATTTTTACATACAAAAGTGAGTTCTCTAAATGTAGGAATCAAATCTTTTTTCTCATGTTCTGTTTGAATAACTAAACCTTTTAAAATACATTGTTTCATCTTTTATTTTCTAATTTAAAACACAATAAAAAATCAAAAGCATGTATTAGAAATAATCTAAATTTTCATTTTTAAAGTAAGCCCTGTAAGAGAAAAACAATGGAACCAGATGGATCTGGAGAGAGCTATTTATGTAAAGGAAATTTCTGAATAATTAGCAGGAATTTGGAACACACCATCCTGTGGCTAATAGGGTAGAATAGCTTGAAGTATGTTATCGAAAGTAGCCATGAGAACCTGAACCAAGGTTGAGGAGTTTGGTGATGTTCACACAAAACTTAAACCAATGCTTCCCAAATCAGTGTAAATTATCCAAAATTGAGTAAAAGTGGTTTTTCTTTGGTCAATGAGTTTGTGTGTCACTACCCAATCACAACAGGAACTTATTTTACTTACATTGGCTTTCTGATAAGTGATTTTGGGTAAGGAAGGAAAAATATTTGGGAAGCCCTGAAACTAAGTCATGCATTCCTTAACCACGGTTGATTGGATTCACAAATTAAGTTGGAAACCACACTACTGCCACCAACAGCTTGTTCACACAATGAACAAGTCAGCCGTATTTTGTCTTGCATGTTCTGCGAACCCAGATTTAGTATTTGAACCGAGAAACATATAAGGTGCATTCTTTAAGTGTTGCTATCAGACCGTTTCTACCAAAAGCTTTCCTCTGCTGGCGCCACTGCATTTCTGCTCGAGGTGATGGGCTAAGGCGGCATTGACCGACCAGACAAACACTGGCAACCCTTGGCAGCCCCCGGCACCATTCCCGCAGGCAAAAGCACAACAGATGCAGCTCCCTTCCCCTCCCACTCAAGACAAGTCCACTCTGATATGTGCACGCCGATTACAAGCTCTGGAAGCCGGACTCGGCAGGGCTTTGATACGCAAGGGGGCGGGGGGAAACAACCAAGGAAGGATCGCAAAGTGAAAGGTCGCGCAGCGCAAAGCACCCGCTCCTTAAAGAGGAGGCTTGGAGGATCTCTCCTCTTTCTCTTCCAACATGCAAAAAGAAGAACAAATTCAAAAAAAAGTGTCGGCGGAGGAGAAGGGGAAAAGAAATCCACCGCCACTACCCCTCCCCAAGAACTCGAGCTGCGCATCTTTCCTCATCCCCGCCTCCCTATCGGCACCGACCTGTGGAGGGCCGAGTCCGCCGCCTGACCGCCATGCACCGGGCCTCGCTTCATCTTCTGGCCCCGCAGCCTGTATGCCACCTTCTAAAGCCCGCCTTCGTCGACTGTTCGTTGTCTTCTATCCAGGTTCCGGGGTTTCGGAAAGTTTCCGGAAAAGGAAAGCAGAGCCCGCTGTTCTTGGCAAGCTGCTGCATTTCCCGTCATGCGCAGAAGCCGCGGCGAAGCATCTTGCCCTTTCGTTTGCACTCTAACCCAGGGGTCTCCAACCCTGACAACTTTTAAGATTTGTGGAGTTCAATTCCCAGAATTCTGGGAGTTGAAGTCCACAAGTCTTAAAGTTGCCAAGATTGGAGACCCCTGCGAGTCTAACCCGCCTCCCAACCAAATACAAGTCAGACCAAGTCCGGCTTTCACTTCTGGATTTCCGCATCCAGATTATAATGCTAAACTTCGTAAACTGCATGATTTTCTTGACCGCTTTTCCTTTAATCTGTTTAAACACAGATTTACCGTATTGCCAATTTTTTAACCGTTGATTTGTTGGTGGGGTGTTTCCCTCCCCCCCGAGTATTGTATCAAAAACGGATAACTTGGTCTCATTAGTTTTAATTTATTTATTTATTTATTTGATTTGCCAATTGTTTACAAGATAATAAGTATAAGTGTATACATAGTTGTGAATACATGAAATGGGTACATATAAGAAAAATAAAAGAATAAGAGAAACAATAGGACAGGGACGGTAGGCACGATGGTGCGCTTATGCACGCCCCCCAGTTCCTGCCAGGGACTCGAATGCGTAAACCATCCGTGTTCTCGGGTGGAAAGCAATGCAGGAGCTCACCTCGCAGACAGGGAGAGGATTCCGGATCGGGCTTCCTTCCTTATCAATATAAAAGTTCTGCCTGCTAATTTGTTAAATTGGCTTCTTGCTAATTGTGCCGAGTTTCGAACACTTTAGCGTTGAGATGAGTGGTGTTACAACCGTAGTGGAAAAATAGAAAGCTTGAGAGACGTGGCAATCTATCCCCTTACGCACGGTTCGAAATTGAGCCATACTTTTCAAACAGAACAAAAATAGCTTTCATTCAAAACCAGTCTAATTGGCTATAAAAGCTTTGGACGAGGTTAAAAGGTATTTTCTCCTTGCCAGCGATTGCGTTGAAATACTACATGCCCGTTAACAATACTAATGAAGTCTTCGAGTCGAGCCTTAACATTTACTGACATGGGCTGCATGGTCTGTGCACTTTTCTTTGCAACATACGGAAGTGGTTTTCCAAGAACCTCCAGTTTTGGGGATTCTAGTTTCACCTCCAGTTCTGAACTTCGAACTCTGAACGTCATTCAAGTATTACCGTATTTATTTTCACATTTTTTGAACCGCCCATCTCCCTAGAATAGTTTACATGCTGCCATCTGCTGGGTCCTATTGAAATTCCAAATTATGTAAGCATGTTGCGGTAGTATCAATGAAAAACTTAAAAACTTGATTCTAGAAAGAGGGATGTTGTGATAGAGATTTGACTATTTGGAGAAAGGAGGGAAAGCTGTACCATCAGCGCCCTCCCATAGAAACAAGCTTCAATTTGCATCCTGCTGTATTATTTGTCTTTATTAAATGTAAGTGCTTCAAATGAAATATGGTATTTTATGTTTTTAAATCATTGTGTGCTTAGTGGAGGTGGCGACATCAAAGCTATTATATCTTTTATCAACTCTTTAAGCCATTTATTGTGACTTAATGCAAAACTTGTTAAGAGGTTGTCAGCTTATTAAATTCCTTACGTTTCAACCCCCTGCTTCTGCCAACTTGTTACTGCAACTAGGTGTCAACCAAAACTTGGCAGCAAAAATCTAGGCAAATAAGGTCAGTAGAGATTATTTTTCTGTACTATACAGTAATTATCTAGTGTTTATCCAGATTTTTTTTAATCAATAGTAACCCCAGGAGAAAGAAATGTGAAACACTAATGCCATTTTAATTAGAAGCAACCCTAATCAGTTATCACAAATATGTGAAAAATAACAATATAGGAAGAAATTTCCAATTTCCAAACCATATCCTAAAGCGAAGATTTCAGAAATCAAACAAAATTCATTTTACATGAACTTTATTTCTTAGTATGTAAGTACGAGCAGGTCCTTTTGCCCCATGGTTCTAATAGTCTGCACATTTTAGCAATTTGGTATGCCAGACAAGCAAACTGAAACATTTTTGACTAAGGGGTAAGTATAGTAATATCTACCATAGCAATAAGGTCCCCAAGATTTATTTAAGCCAAAAAGATTTTGCAACTAACTGATCCTTCAGTTTTTAAAAATTGTTCAACTTTTGTACTGTAGCAGTGAAAAGAATCAAAGAATGATAGCCAAGATTAGAAATTGCAAAAGATCCAGAATTTCTCTCAATGATTCTACTGTATGTAGTAAAGAGTGGATATAGAATTTGAAGGGATGGCCAAATAAATATAATTTTAACAAGTGTGTAAGACTTCAGATTAATGGACAAAAGCATGGTCGAATAGTCCTAAATCATGATGGTTAGTATATGGAATAGATATCATCCTCTAGAAATAATGGATTTCTGATTTACAGTTATTGGAAAATGACAGAATGCTATTGTAAAATAAAAGTATCAAATATTATCAACAATATTATTAAAAGTATTATCAAATAATCCCAAGTCATTATAATTACATCCAACTTCTAGAATTAATATGCTTCAGAATTATAGTTGCTGGGAAAGAAAATTATTGCCTTTCAATCCTACTTATTAGTTTCCTAAAGCTTTCTGCTTGATCATTATGAAAAAGAGTGCTGGAGGAAATATGTTCTTGGTGTTACTCAGCATGTTTGCCTACATTCATTTTTGTAGAAAAGGGTCAAAAGAAAGGTGTGCATCTTTTTTTTTCTCCAAGGTGATATTAATTTTGACAAGCTATGCCTAATTTTGTTGATTCTCCGAATACTTTAGCAGGGAGAAGTGGATATGAAGTATCCATTTAAAACCATATACATCATATTTAAAAGTAAAAGTAGTTCTAAATGCTAACCATCACATATTTGTCTAAAGAGTGTATTCAGCTTTTCATACAGAAATAAATTGCCAGAACTATGCAAAATGAGGGCTGCCAGATAAAATATCTGACTGTTGCTTAAAGTATCCCAATCCTCTTGAAGGCTCAGCACCACATCTTGAAGAGTCCTTCCTATATGGAATAGAGCAACTTGCCACAGCCTACTTGCTGCAGCCACATTCAACTCACCATGGTCAACTCGCCATGGCAAACTTATCGTGGCCAACTCACCATAGCCACTTTGCTGCAGGACAGCTTGCCATGGCTAACTCACTGTGGGACAACTCACCATGGGACAATTTAACACTTCAATTTAATTATTCAAAATAAAAAAAATATTTAAAGTTTTGTCATTCATATTTTATTCTGTCCCTCCTTTTTGCATCCTTCCTTAATTATTGTATTCCACTATTTCTTTGATATTGATGTAACTCTTGTCCTGTGGCGAGTTGGCCATGGTGAGTTGTCCTGCAGTGAGTTGACTACGGCAAGTTGGCCATGGCAAATTGTCATAGACTCCTGAATATGCAGTGCAGGCCAACAACCCTTCTACCAGACCTCTCTCTTCAAATGGTTTTGTAAAGTCCCTATGAGCTACTACTGTACCGAGGGATACAGTAAGACCTGAAAACAAACCAAATTTCTCTTTCTGGAAAACACTGCTGAACATCTGTGATTCGTAGTACCTCCAGTCTTTATAAACAGTGAATAACTTTGGGAGTTGCAGCTTAGAAACATCTAAAAATGATTCCCAACCCTGGTACAGGAAAAGACAGATAATTGTTTTCATTCATACTATTGGTATGTTTTCCATTTGTACTATTTTTATACAATTTTAATTGCTTTTGTATTAAAGGAGTTATGTTGTTTTATTTTTTAGGAGAAATGCATAACAGGCAATAATATGCATTTCACAGTGCAAATACTATGTCCAGGCTTTGGAACCCATAATTGTTGGTGACTACAATCTGTCTAGTGTAAAAAAAAATTGGCTGATTTCCAAAGAGAAAAAGGAACAAAAAGGGAGAAACAGAACTTCAAGCAGCAACAAATATGCATTAGCCATTTTACAAGCAATGAGGGGGGGGGGGAATCTGGACAATCAATGAAACACCAAGAAATTCCATTTAATAATTTAAATGGGCAATATGAAATGCAAACTTTTATTTGTAACAAATCAGATACAATTTCTTTCATCAAGTGCAAATAACTTTATGAACTACACCTTTTTCATTATTTTTCAAGGGATACTGGATGATGGCATATGGCACAGCAACTATAAATAATTTAGCTTTATTGCTTATATCTGGTTATATTTCCTATTGAGATGGACTTTTCCACTTGTCAATTTTTTTACTTTTTACATATTGATACAGGAAAAATAGATTTCATAACAGAAACCAGGTAGAATCCAAAGCAAAATTCAACACACAGTTTTTCTTCTCAAAGCTGTCCCCCATTTCTGGTTATGTCTTCATTATCTTTATCTGAAGTAAATAACTGACTTGAGTGTTTATTTCTGACCTAATGGCTTCCATTAAAGAAATGAATGCTTGTAAGTTCAAGAAAAGGTTGCATCCAATTAGCATTTATAATAATGGAATCTCACCTACTAAAATACTACAACTGTGTTTACATTGAAACCACTTCTGTGCCGGGTGCAAGCAACCAGAAGCACTTGTGGATAGGCCCAAGCAGATATTTTATTGTTCATCACCTATATTATAAGTGTCTTGTGCCAGATTGTCTGCCTTCCCTTGGGAAATGACAGATATAGATCTAATGTTTCCTTCTCTCCTCCCCTCTCCCCAAGATGGAATGTCTCTTTATTCCCT